TCCCATCTGTTCCCCTTCAGAATTCATGGCTGGGGAAGAGTAGTCCGGGAGCATCAATCAGCATTACCGACCCCCTAGCGGCTGCCTAGATGTGCGCGCTCACAAACTTAATTCTCCTACCGGGATGAGGAACTGCAGAGGAAGGTGACTGCAGACTTGTCTGTCCCTCCCGGTCATTATATCTAAATGTTCAGCTGATCTTATAGAAGATATTGTTTATAAAGAGTTGAAATAACTGAATATAACCAGCACAATGTTTGTTTGCAGAGGCAGGTAAATCATGTTCAGTACATTATCTAAGATGGAAAGCATCTGGTCTGTCCCCGCCCCCTCCGTTACATCATGCTGATGGGCAGCACACCCTTCACAGACCACAGTAGGGCCCTGGACCTGCGATACTTCATTGGGACATTCTATGGGTGACGCATGCAGATCCAAGTCCTTGTAAATTCTTCCACATGCCTGCACATCAATGAGCAAATTGTGCTTAATAGAGGTTTCTAGTAGTTATGTGTGGAGGCAACACAGCAGGAAGTCTTTGTGCATGCTTTGCTCCAACAAAATGGCTGCCCGGTAGACATTTCTGTATACAGTGATTGGGTAAGGGCCGGTGCCGGTACCCGGCAGACATTTCTGTGTGCAGTGATTGGGTAAGGGCCAGTGCCGGTACCCGGCAGACATTTCTGTGTGCAGTGATTGGGTAAGGGCCGGTGTCGGTACCCGGCAGACATTTCTGTGTACAGTGATTGGGTAAGGGCCGGTGGCGACGGACTTTATGCATCAGAATTGCTTCTCTCACCCCATACAAGTCGATGGGAATGCAAAAGCAGCTTTAAGCGGGTCAAAAGGAGGTCAACTGCACCTTTCAGTGATCACTCTCGGATGTCCAAGGCAATCTGCTTCGACATGGACCTTACAACTTCTTCTGATGACCTCGGCCATAGTTGCAGATATATTGTGTAAGTTATGAATAGGGGTGACGTCATGTGACGGGGGTTAGGCCCGGGTTTGTATGTTGCCGTGTTTTGTCGCGTGGAGGTCGTTGGCTGTGTATACAAGTACGTGTTTTGGTGCCGTGGTTGATTTAGCGATTTCTATTGTGCTGATTTATGTTCAAAATTTGCCTGTTTTTAATTTTTTTAGGAGGATCTGCCATTTATACTGCATGGGGGATGCTTTGTCTGGGTTTTTAAAGGGTCCGGCCACCCAATAGTGGAATTCGATGGAACCTAAAGCCAATGAGAGACAAGCAATCCTGGTGCTGGTGGTCTGGCTCTATGGCTTTGCTTCCTCGCTGATCGAAACTCTGCAGAATCTTCCTCGCTAGAGTGGGGCATTGCCACCGCCGGCCTAGTGAAGTTGCTGCCAGCAACAGTATCGGCCGTGTGTTATGGGTCTAAGGGTGGACTAATGCTTTGGGAACAATCCTCTTCTCCCTTCCATCCCCATCAGGGAATTCTTGAGACGGAGAACTGTTACAGACTTCCCCCTCCTACTGGTGAAATATGGTATTGACGAATGACCATAAAACACAATTATTTCACTGGCTGGACTTTAGTCTACCGACCAACAAAACCTCAGCAGGTGGCCCCCCGTCATGTGACTACAAGGAGTCTATATTCACTTTCCCTTTTGTATTCATCCCAACTAGCGTCCAATGTTGTGAATATTAGATGACTCTCCAGAACATCTGATAACCCCCCCCTTCCCCGACAATCAAGGTCCCTGGACAATCGTAGAATGCTTCAGACTGTTATTTTGTAGATTGTGATGTGACGGTGGTATTGCTGTTTCTTTCGCTGGTCCAAACTACTCTGTTTTCTGTGGTATTAATACGCAGAATTCCCTTCAAATTGTTTGTTGTATATAATTTCCCGATTTCTTTGATTGCTAAACAAAATTATGTATTATCCGGATATTTTTTCTGGGTTACAATGTGTATAAGGGAAGAGGAGATACGTTAAAGAAAATAATATGTACGTTGTATGGAAGACATTGGAGGACATTGTCTCAGTTCTTAGGAATGTGAACAGCAGGTGGAAGGTCCGGCTTGGCTTTGGTAATAAGTCACCTTCTGTCCATCATGTAGCACAACCATTCTCAACCAAGGTTCCTCCAAAGGCTGCTAATGGTTCCCTGAGCTGTGGCTGATTGACCACCCATCTCATGGTGCCTGGATAGTCCCAGGTCCAATGCCACTTGGGAGAGCATGACA